GGCGGAGGGGTAAGTTTCGGGACGAGGGTCGAAGTTACTAACGATGGCTTTTGTGAGCGCGCGGTGCCCGTCGTTGTCGAAACGAGGGAATGCCGGGATTAAACGACGCACCAACCCCTCCGGGCCGTTTGTCATCCCCCGACCGTCCCGTTTGTATGCACGCGCAACCACGCAGGTGCGCGCAGCTCGATGCGTGGTCTGAGTAAATATTTCCCGACGCGATATCGGCGGCCGCCTCCCCTTTCTTTTTTTTTAAACGCAACCAGGCTTCTTTGTAAATCCATTTGATTACCAAAGCTTTCCAATTTTTCAGGTTTTTCAACCGAGTCTTTGTATCCCGGTCGTGAATGTGTTATGGAAAACAGATTTGTTAGATGAAAAACGTTTTTTGATTTTGCACTTTAAAAGTCTACAAAAATACTTTTGTGCTTTTTTTTTTTAATAATTTTAACGTGCGTTCTTTTATTGTCTTTGTGATTCTCAAAAGTACTTTGATCAAAAAGCAAAGTTTGGACATTGTAATTTTTAATAGAATTCTTACGGAATACTATTTTATTTATAATTTTACATAATATATTATTGTATTAAAAGAAGAATATTATCGCGAGTGAGATCGTTCAAAGTGGGTTTAAGATCACGTTTAATGATTATGTCATCGCGGTTTATAAATATATGACAGTCACGCACCAAACAACGATCTCATATTACCTCGATATTCGTACGTTGTACCGTTCTTATTACGATAGCGATACGGAAACGGATGTGAAATAATTGATAGAACATTCAATGGAAAAGAGAACATCGGTTACGTGCGCAATCCGTCCAAACTGTTAAATTTGTTCCGTTAATATTTTTCAATAAAAGCTCCGCTTTCAAAAAATCATTCGCAATAATGGTCGTCGTGCTTTTTTGAACTTTGCCTCGCAAGTTTCGACGGTTTTTATGGGTCGCCGATGATAAATATTCTACGCAGCGGCTTGCAGCCAAGCCGGAGAGACAGGTTGAAGATCGCAAGGTCGGTCACTGCACTCGCGAGTTGCATACGGTGCAATCCGGGTAATCGTTGGCTCGGTGCGTTCAGGGCCGTGCGGAATGCGAAAGAGCGTTGCACCGGTTGTTGCACGCGAGTGCTTCCTTCCTCAGCTTGGATTTCTCACGCGCGCTCGTCGCAGGAAGCGCATTCGCGAACGCGCGTTTTTAGCACGAAGGCACAATTTTATTGTGCGATATTCTATCAATGGATCTTTATTATCTAATAATTTTCACTTAATCTTAATCCATCTCGACGTCCCAAATCATTCACCGCGTTGAGAGAAAATTATCGACTTCCTCCCCGCCGCGCATTATATTATAATTTAAAATAATGCACCGTGCATATGTCTCTCTCAAAGAAAAAGAGTGGAACGGAGAGTAAGAAAGAAATGCGAGCGGTACGACTTTGGTCGACTTGTCGGGGATGTAAGCCTGTTGTACCGTATAAAGAAGAGGAAACGTCGACAAACCCACCTATACCCCGCCTCGTCCTCGACCCCGCAACCATCTGCGAAACGAGTAACCCGCTTTACGATTCACGGGACACGGCGGGAACTGCCGCGGGGCGAAATCTGCGAGACGTCGGAGGAAATTTTCCGGCGTCTCTTTCCAACCACCGTCGTCGTCTCGTCTCATCTCGCCTCCTCCTCGTTCCTCCGCGCGTTTCTCCTCTTCGTTCTTCCCGCCCCTCCGTCCGCTGCCTTACTTTATGACCTGTCTACTCGGAGCTCTTCTTTCCGGCATTGCGCGTCCTCGAGATCGTTTCTGAATTTCATTGTCCTTTTGTATATCCTGTCGAGCTGCGCCAAGTTCGTCGGGGTGCCTCTTTGAATTTTTTCGTCCCCACAACTGATTCGATAATAATTCGTCCGTTTTTCTCGCAGCGATATTTCCCCGCGCCGATCGGACGAATTTGCGGCTTATCGTGGATTTGGAAGTCGCACAGTTATTCGTGGATCCATCCTCGATTGATCTGTCGGTATCTTTAGAACGGCACGGCTACTTTTGAAAGATCGCGTAAATTGACGTTTTATACTATTTTTAACGACTAGATTGTCTTAAAACGTACTGTTCTTTTTAAAGATTCAGGATGATATTTTAATGACATTGTGAGAACAATGATTAACATTAAAATAAACGTTTAATTTAATCCGCCGGGCAAAAAGATATACCAGAAATATATATCTTTCTAATTTTCTCGTCGGGACAGAAATGGTTATTTGCAAACCGTCACATACAAACTTAAGAGCCGTTTAATGATAGTATTTTAATCGTCTTTTCGATGAAATTTATTCTCCGCGTTTATGAATTATAATTGTGAATTCATGAGTTTGTGCTTAATTTCGTCCATATATGCTAAAATATTAATCTCCTAAAATACGGTGTCTTTGACCGTCAGGTTTTCAGGCACGATTGATTACCGCTGTATTTTTTCCGATCTTTTCTCATTTTCTTTTTTTCATTGAATCGCGCGACTACAATTAGACAATCAAAATTTCATTGTCGCAACTGTGCGTTGGACAGTTGGACTGTAATAGTTAAACGAGAAGCAATATTTTCAATGTCTTATTTTTGATGGTTTCTACTTTTACATTTTTGGTATAAAAATTTTACCTACTCGGCAAATTATCTTTTATTTACTTAACAATTTATTTTTTGCACAATAAGGTTTTTTTAGACCGATGACTGTCAGACATTGCCAGACATTGTCAGACATTGTCAGACATTGTGAAAGTTACAAGAACCAGTCGCGCTTAAACATCAGAAATAATTTATAACGTTTGATATTTAATACTCATGTATTTTCGAAAGTTTTTATTTTTGAGGATTACATGGTTTCTGGTGATGCACATGTTTTTTTTATCTTTTAAACGGCAGACATTAAAAACATTAACGAGATAAAAAAAGTTTTCTTTATTTTTATAATTAATTTTTATACGTCGTAAAAGAGCGATGATTGTAATATTGTGCGATCTTTCATTCGTTTACGAGCGTGTGAAATTTGTTACGTAAGACATATCCTTTTCTTCGCACCTTTCGACAGTTTCTCGACGAGCTTTTTCGGCCGCGGCATAGAGAGGCACGAGTCGCTCGAACTTTAATTCGGTCATCCACCTTGTAACGGGTACTCCGACTCCGGCTATAGCTCGAAAACTAACTTTGCCGGTGGAGAGACGGTGGGCGGATTGCGATTCGGTTCAAGATAGTGAACTGTAGTCGACAAACAAGACGGAGCCATTAAACTTTCGCGGTAGAAATTGGGCCGTCGTTAATTCAGATTAATCTTGACGACGACATTTTTGATCGTCCGTTTTTAATAACACGTTTATCGCGACCGATGGAGCTTTTAAAAATAACAGAATGAATTTTGGAAGAGCGTTTTCTTCGATATCTGCAGCCGTCTGTCTCCGAAGAAAGCATGAACCGAGATCTAATTGTGAAGTTATTTGACACAAGGCGATTTGCGAAAATGTAAATATAGAAACGAACACATCGGTGGAAAATTTCATTCGAAGCTTAATTATATCGAAGTTTTGAAAGTTTTATCGCAGACGACGGGTTCAATGGAATTTTAACAATTTTAAATTAGTCGGAGAGAAATTTTCCGCGTTATTTTATAAGGCACAGACTGTGTAATTCGATGTTTTAATGCTCCGTCTGTACTTTCGTTATCGTTGATAATTATATTCGACTTTCACGTACGAGCAACGTTCGGCCTGTTAAAAAAAAAAGGCATATCGCGCGTGTGCACGCATAGCAACGAGTTCGAAAGGCGATATTTCAACGTCGCGATAGGGACGAGACTAATGTGAATCGCGAACTCGGTGCAATCCGTCACGATTTAAACGTCGTTTGGAGACGCGTATGCATCGTATTAAAGGATCGTCGCCGGCAACGTTCGCGTCACATGGTCATTACGAAGATTATGAAGGGCAATTAGCTGCAGCGGCGAATTTACCCCCGAATGCAAGCAATTAACGTACTCCTGCGACAACGGCTTTAGGATAGCTCGATCCCGTCGAGAGAAAGCGGGGTGGAGGGGATACAACTGCAATTTTATCACGACGAAAGTTGTCTCGAGCGCAGCGGGATGCATTCCGAAAATGTATCCTTACGACGTGAAAAATGCTTCTTCCCGACAGTCATAAAATTGCACGAGCAACTTGGCGCCACTAGTAGCTGAAAGTAGAATTTTAAGGCGAAATTGTAATGAAGAAAGTCCTACTTTAGCGAAGAATCGATTCATCGTATGCAAATTTGTGATATCTAGAAAAAGATCGGGCATTACTTGGCATTGAGTATCCTGTGATTATTCTCGACGAGGCTTAATGGGATATCTGGATGGAATTAAATTAGCAGATGATTGGTTTCCGGAGCATTACGTTCATGCGGTTGCATGCCACGGATACATACTGCATTATTTTGTGCTTATACGGCGAATGATACGCGTTAGATGCGGAGAAATCGCGGACAGAATGCCGTGCACCGATATCCGCGAGTCTCGGCGAAGCGAATCGACTCGACTCGCGTGATTCGCTGTCTCTCCGTCGACCGGCTCTGCGATAGAAATTTTTTCGCGACGCAAAAATACCGTCGGGGTCGAATAAATGAATGCAAAATTGGTATTTGCAGTGTATTAACCCTCGAAACAAAGTTAGCGGCATTTTTGCGAAATTCGACAAAAATTGAATATGAATTCTGAACGCCGAGATATTCGAAAAGTTTTTTAATCCTGAGGATTGAAAAATTGTTTTGCAAATCCGAAATTGTGATTAAAGCGCTGAGAAAAAAGAAATTCTTCGAGTTTCTAAAACTGCGAACGCTTTCACGTCAGATTTCCGCTTGCGAATTTAGTTTGCGCGACGTAAGCTTCGTTCGCAAGATCTTACAGTCGCGAGAGCGACTTTCGCAACTTATCGCATCTTGCCACATTGCTCCTAACAATCGGGCTCTCTTGTTTGTTTCAGGTAACTTGATGGAAAATTATGAGATTGCCGCGGTAGCGCCTGGGCTTCTGACTTATTCTAGGTACAGTTTATTATTAGTCGTAAAGAGCAGACACAGCGAGAGAAGCTTCCTTTACACAGGCCGTGCAACACACCCGCGATATATCGGCCGTGTTAGCTTCCAACTACGTCGTCGCTCGTCGACCGTTCCAACGCTATACAACGAGCCTTGAAATACGCGCTCCTATACCACCCTTTGCCCCACTTACGAAACCTCGTTAATACAAAATCGAGCGATGTGTACATGCGCGTTTTCGCGACTGCAATTTTTATTACGGCGAAAAATTATGTCGCAAATTTGTTTAACGCTGTCGTCAAGTTTACAATGAAACAATTTTAATTCTACTTGTAATTGACAATCTGATTAGCTACTCTTTGCGATAAAAAGTGTCGAAATTTTAATCATTATTTTAGCCTCAAAATTCCGATTGGCGTTCGAAAGAGAGTACTATTTTACTATTATGATTTAAGTCTTGACGGTATACGTATATTATTATGTTTCCTGAGTTTTTACAAAGCCATTTACATTCATCAACTATGCAGATGACAGTGGAAAGTCGCAAGAGGATTTTCTTACTTTCCTTCCGTCCGTTCTTTTTTCGCGAATTTTTCCGCGGATGTTTTTTTAGATTAAGAAGGGATCAAAAAGTGTGCGAGTAATGAATGCGCGCGCCGAGTGATTATCCGGATGCAAATACGCGACGATTACTTTCTATTTTTCTGTCTTTTCTCGACCGCAAAGCGGCGCGTCTCGTTGCGAGCGTCGCCGGCGATATGCGACGAGAAAGGAGGACGACGCGGAGACAGAACGGAGAGAGGACGGGAGCGGATTAAACCGAATGCAAATATTTAATTAAATCCACGCGGCGGCGCATGCCCGACGGTGTGGCGGTTTATGAGCGCTAGCATAATTCCTCCTCGGAAGTCGCGAGCGAAAGTGGAAGTAGATGCGGCTCGGTGCGGACGGTACCGTCGAGCTGTGCGTTCGCGTTGCATCGAGAGCGCGTCCCGCCGTAATGCAATCCGGATGAACGCTCCCGTAACTTCAAATTACGTTTCCCTGTTCCATTTATTACTTTATTTCTTTCCGCAAATAACGTTCCATAAAATGTCCGATTAACATTAAAAGCATGTAAATAGAAATTTATAGCTTTACATTTTAAATGGACGCGATGGAACACATTCGCGCACGATGATAACGGTGATAATAACGCGAAATGTTAAAATCGACTTGCGGCGAGGAGGATCGGCGATAAATCGGCGGGATTTCGAATCCCCGCCGATTCAAATATCGCTCGTCACGCTATCGGGGATTACGATTGTTAATAACGAAACTCGTGAATTAAACGCTCGTTCCTCACGCGGCATCGCGTATTAAGCCGTCCAATCATTTTATGCTAATAAACTGCCGTAAAACGAAGCGGGAGATGAAACGACGGCGGCGCGAGATGCGCGGCGCGCGCTCTGCTCGCAATGGCGGATATATAGACCTCTCTCGCAGGTAATTCGGTATGCGAGGTTATCGCAGCATCTCCATATTCCCGGAGCATGCCGGGGAATGCTGCCGGGGCCCCGCCACTCGCCTTCGCCCGCCGTGATATACGATCGAACCTCGTGGTTTTCTCGCGGCCTCGGCGAGACAAACGAGCCCCGCCGTCGCGCCGCGGAAGAAAGCCGGGAAGGTATGCAAATCGGGAAAGCGGGCCGCAGGAGATGGATTAGCCGGATATCGGTAGGACTAATGGATATTAGAATCTCGAAGTGTGCCGAGGAGAGGATCGCCGCGCGCCCGCCCCTCCTTCTTTCGCGGCGTTTTCAGCCCCGCCGCGTGATAAATGCACTCGGCGAAAAAAGCTATCGACTCATTCTCGTGCGTGCCGGCGAATGGGAATTATGCAGCGTCAGCTGAAAAATCACAGATCGCACGTACACGTACGCGCGAAAAGCGCAAGCGAGCGCGCGATATAAACATGCAGCATCTGCTCGATGAAAATTCCAATGCGCACGAAACAATTCTGATTTTTATGACGTTACGTCATGCCGTTCATCCAAGCGTGAGATTGTTTCTCTCTTCCGTGAACTTTCGAGTTCATCCATCTAAATGCTTGACGCGGCGATGCACAATGCGTATTGCTATTCGCTCGACGAGCGATTTACGAAGTGCCGTATAAATAAAGTAGCGCCGCAGAAATTTCAGGGCGCAGTTCCCGATCCTCTGATCCGCATCGAAACAATCCCCTTTCAAATATTTACGGATGCGAATGCACGATGCTCGGCCGTTTAAAGCGTCACTCGCTTCGAGACGGGTTCGCATTCACAACTCGCGAACTTTCTTCCGCCTGAATCTCCCGCTGTACTTTGCGCGAGTCTTCGCCGTATATCGCGATTATATGCATACGCATTCACGGTGAAAGTCAATTACGCGCACTAACACATTTTCCAATCGCTAACTCACGAAGCACGCGCAACGCCAATAATTCGCATTACTATGCATTAACGTTCTGTGCTTCGAACAATAGGTTCATGTATTAAAATCGCCGTGCAAGACCATTTTACGCACTGCACATTATGCTTACAAAAATATCTTGCAAAAGGATTGAAAATAATTTTGTCTTTTATATTATATTTATAGCGTAGTCGACTGCAATTCAAATCAACTTTTGAACAACTTTTATTCTACTTATTTACACAGTAGTTTACCAAAGATCGAATGAAATAAAAAAAAAAGAACGGATTAAATAAGTAGATGCAACAAATACAGAGAAACTCAAGTATCACACATGAATGAATAGGTTGAAACGATCTTGTTGCGCATAAACGCACTTTTATCTCCCTCGCGATCTCCTGCGCGCGACGCGAGATACCGCGTATCGAGTGTACACGTGCGTCTTGCGCCTTTCATTCATGTGAACTGCACGAGCGGAAATCTGGGTGCGCGAGCCCGGTCGACCGCTGGAGCGAAACGGCGGAAAGACACGTTGCGGCGGCGCGTTAAGTGGGCGAGGCATTGTGCCGGCCCGAGAACGGCCTTGGATCTAATTATTCCGTGCGGCTTTTGCGCTGATATCTACGCCGTTTTCTACGTCGTTTTCGCGCGGGCGTTCGCCGGCGTGGCAGGAAATTAAATGAACGTGTGAGCTCTCGCGGCCGACGACTCCGGCAAATCGTCTTTTTCCAGGCAGATGGCGCGCCGCCTTTTAACGACGAATTCCGTCCCGCCGTCAGCTGGCCGGAAGAAATATCGGCGGCTCCGCGGCGGACGTGACGCGCGGCGGTTCGCGCTTGCGAGGGATTCAGGATTATCAAATCCATTCTTCAAGCGAATTGTTTATGCACGCGGCATTCGAGATCTCGCGGAGAAAAATAAACGTCGCGACTCGTTGCGGAGTCCCGTGGCGCGCATAATGTTCCGCGCTAATTAAAGCGTTAAACTTGTCGGACGCGCGAAATTCCCGGTAGAGAAATTAATTAAATCACTCCTCGAGGCAAGAATCGGATCGAAACCCTTCGACCGACCAAACATAAGGCGCTGATAGCGATAAACGAGGCAAGAAGAATCGATTTTGCCGCGGCAATAATTTTTTAGTTCGATTTTCATGACCGGCGCTGCACGAGCGTTCAGTTTCAATTCCGGAGAGATGAATGTTAACGTTCTATGTGTATGTCGTTCGAGAACTTTAGAAAGCTCCTCTATTCATATTTTTCATAAATCGAATCTTTATTATTGCAGGTCGTTGAATACAACCGACTATTATTATCCGAACAATCTAATATTTGTCCCACAACTTCGATTGTAATAACCGTAAATTCGCTTGGCGTTCCATACGGATACGCTGGGCACGCTCTCTCCCTCTCTCTTTCTCTCTCTCTCTCTCAATCTCTCTCTCTCCATAACGGGACTTTCTCATGCGCAAAGTTCGCCCAGTCAGCGAACAAACCGTGTTGACCCACGAATATTCGAGTTATTGCACTACTGTCCGGTCGTTTCGAGTGCATCTCGAGCAGAGTGTTTCTATCTTGTTTATCATTATATTGCAAACGCGTTGGATGTTATCTTTAGTGAACTATCGCGTAGCGCAATACGATCGGCACGTACGGAAGTGAATGATAAATATATTTCAGAAACATGTTTCACGACAAAGTTTTTTCCTTTTTATTAAACAAAACTCGGTAAAAATTTGTTAAAACTTAGCTAATTGAATGCAGTCTCGAAAAAGTTAAACGTCCAATAACTGCATGGTTTACCTTGTTACTCATTAACGTCGCACGTACCGTCGGAGCGAGTTCTCCCCCGGCTTCACTTTTCCAGCGTGTTACCGGGAGTCGAGTTTTGCGTTGCTCCATTGCGCCTTAATTCCATTTAGCCGCTCTCCAGCGTCGCGCACCGCCCCGTCTTTCACGAAGGCGAGGTCGCGGCCGTGGCGAAGGAACGGCTATTATAGAAGGGCGGACGGCGCAATATGAAAACTAGATTTCGAGGTGGCAATGTTGCGTCGCGGTGCTTACTCTATTAAATATGCTGGTGCTAAAAAGTTGTAGACGTCCCGCGTAGAGCACGCGTCGGAAAGAGCTCCGAGGCGCGCGTTGATTAAAAAATGTACGATTTATTAAAATTCCCTCATCGCGACAAATTGATGCACATATTTTTTTTTTTTTTTTTTTTATTACAAGCAGGTCTTAATAAAACGGGTATGTTTTTCATTCGGCGCGAGCGCGTTGCTTATGGATCTGTTTTCAGATTTATATGTAATTATATAGCGCAGCGGTCGATTTCTGTAATTACCGTGGCGTATTTGTTGCATTCGTATTTACTTGACAATGCATTCTGATTTTGCGAGAAGGAATTATTATCGTCGTGAAATAATGTGCGCTTAAATAGGTCGCGGCACAATGGACATTTAATAATTTCGAAAATCTATCATCCCGCTGTATTAATTCATTAGCTGCGATTCGAGATTGTTATTGCCGAGGTCGGGCAATCGGTGCTTTTCGCCGACGAAGCGCGGTCATTTGTAATCAATG